TCGCTGTTCTCGGGTAGCGCCTGGAAGGTACATTTCACTTTGGAAAAACATGAACTCCCTATTCAGCTGTAAAATATTTCCTGAACAAATCACATTCTCATAATCATTTGCCTAGAATAACTGCAACGTCAAAACACTATAACCAATTTTTCTAATAAAAATTCCGACAAGTTATAATTAAATATTGAAAACCCGATTAAACCTTTTCTAAGGGTTTCTCCTCTGCCTTTACTATTTCCTTTCAAGATTTGTTACAATTTTCTTTAATCGTTTGTTAATTACATTGTTTTCAATCCCAGAGCTACAGGTACTATTCTATGTTATTTTTTCCTAATTTTACTATTTCCTGTCTAAGATAAAGTTCGTTTTCCTCAAACCAATCCAAAAGCAAACACTACTATTCCCAGTGTACATACTTCAACATACATATTAACTAACCTCCAACAGTATTATCCAAAACGCACGCGCACATAGCTCCAATAAACATTTGTAATTGTAGTAAAATATTCAAAACTTGGTCGAGCATTAGAAAACCTGAAAAAGGGTCAGATCTATTGGTACTTCAATATAACAAGAAATCATTGTATTTATATGTATGTTCATTCTAGCTGTATTGTTAGCAAACCTACCTGTATGAATCGGAAAACGTCGGAAATATTCAGGAACAATCATTCCAAATAGCATAGAAAAACCAAGGATTCCCATATTTCGTGACATTGTCATGTCTACCTGTAATAATAATGCTTTTGTTGGTTACAAAAAGTAGGAGTTTCAACGCCGCAATTAAGAGTTTTCAAGCTGCCAAAGAGGGCAATTAATGAATAAAATTCTATTTGGCCTGACTTCTGCCTTTTCTCTAATTATTGTTTGGTGTACAATACACTATGTGCAAAAAGCGCAGAAAGCATTAGATGGGAGTTTTTAAGATAAGCCCGTTAATTTTGAAGCCAGCGAACCAAATTATGAACATTTTGCCACTGTTTTTCCCTTACTCCTAACATTTTTATCTCGAGTTAATTGATGAATTTGAAGACTTACTGGATTTCCATTTAAAATCTACTTACTAATTTAGAAAAATTTCTTAGGTAAGTAAAAAAATTAATATTATAGACCACCAACTAATTTGCACAAAGAGGTTGTAAGGATTAGGTGCTTAATGTTAAGGAGTTAAGGATGAAGGGAGGGAGAACTACCACAGCTTAATGCAAAATATAAGTTTTTGATAGTATAGTGTACGAGGTCAAACGGCTAACTTTTCTGGATTACCGTGTTTGTTGGTAGATAATCTTTAAAAGATCACCTTCTTGAAACATTACAACAGACTTTTAGTCATGAATCACCAAGAAAAGTCTGAGATTTG